ACACTCTCTGCTGCACTCTCTCCAATCTGTCCACATCCTTTCTGTAGTGGGGGGCCCAAAACTGGACACAGGACTCCTGATGTGGCCTCCCCAGTGCTGAATAGAGGGGAAGAGTCGCTTCCCTTGACCTGTTGGCAACACACCTATCAATGCAGCCCAGGATGCTGTTAGCCTTCTTGCAACAAGGACACACTGCTGGCTCGCATTAGGCTTATTGTCCACCGTCACCCCCAGGCACTTTTCTGCAGAGCTGCTGCCCAGCCCATCAGCCCCAGCCTGCACCGGTGCAAGAGATTGCTCCATCCTAAGTGCAGAACTTTGCACTTGTCCTTGTTGAACCTCATGAGATTTCTTTTGGCCCAATCCTCTAATTCCTCTCATACATGCCATGCTGTAACTGCTTTGATCTCAACTTTTTTCTTACCAATCTTTAGTGGTTTGGCCACTCAACCCTCTTACACATCACAGAGGTCTGGATTGATGACTGTAAGATGGGAAGTCCTGGGAGCTTCCACTGGAAGATTTTGCCTGTGCTATTCTATCAGGGAGCAGGCTCCATGCCCCACCACTCAGTCTGTCCACAAAACCAGTGGAAACTTCATGAATCATAGAAGTAGGGTCAGAAGGGACCTTGTAGATCTTCAAGTCCGACCCCCTGCCTGGGCAGGAGGAAAACTGGGCTCAAATGAACAGCCAGGTAGGCATCAAGCCACTTCTTAAAGCCCCCCGGGGTAGGAGCCAGCACCACTCCCCTTGGAAGTTGGTTCCCGATCCTAGCCGCCCTGACTGTGAAGTAGTTCTTACGGATGTCTAATCTAAACCTACTTTCCAACAACTTGTGGCCGTTATTCCTTGTTATCCCGGGGGGTGCTAGGGGAAACAAGGTCTCCCCCAAACCCTTCTGGTCCCCCCTAGTGAGTTTATAGACAGCCACAAGATCCCCCCTCAGCCTTCTCTTGTGAAGGCTGAACAGGTTCAGGTCCCGTAGCCTCTCATTGTAGGGTCTGCCCTCCTGTCCCCTGATCATGCGGGTGGCCCTCCTCTGGACCCTCTCCATGTTGTCCACATCCCTCTTGAAGTGCGATGCCCAGAACTGGACACAGTACTCCAGCTGCGGCCTGACCAGTGTTGCGTAGAGGGGGAGGATCACCTCCTTGGCCCTACTTGATATGCACCTATGGATGCACGATAGGGTCATGTTAGCCCTGCCGACCGTGACCTTGCATTGTCGGCCCATGTTCATCTTGGAGTCAATGATGACTCAAAGATCCCTTTCTGCCTCCGTGCTCTCAAGAAGGGAGTTTCCCATCTTATAAGTGTGCTGCCGGTTACTACTGCCCAAGTGCAGCACCCTGCACTTGTCCGTATTGAAACGCATCCTGTTTTTGTTAGCCCACCCCTGCAACCTATCCAGGTCTTTCTGCAGTCTTTCCCTCCCTACTAGTGTGCCCACCTCACCCCAAATTTTGGTATCATCAGCAAATTTGAACAGGTTGCTTTTCACCCTGTCGTCCAAATCACTGATAAAGAAATTGAACAGCACGGACCCAAGGACCAAGCCCTGGGGGACTCCACTGCCCACTTCCCCCCAGGTCAAATATGACCCATCCACCACCACCCTCTGAGTACGACCCTTCAGCCAATTAGCAATCTATCTGACCATGTAGGCATCGATGCCACAGTTGCCTAGCTTTTTAATGAGGATGGGGTGGGAGACAGTGTCAAAGGCCTTGCTGAAGTCCAGAAAGACTACATCCACGGCGACACCTGCATCCAATGCTTTTGTGACCTGATCATAAACGCTGAAGCTGGGGTTCTTTTCACAGAAACCTCAGACCTCCAAATTCTCGCTACGCTTCCTCGGCTGCACGGTATCCCCGTTCTGGAGACTCGCACTAGTGTCCTCTAGAGCACCTTTCCACAGAGGCAGGTATTTCACAACATTTATCAAAAGTACAACCATGCGGCCACTATTGACTCTAGCAGTATCAGCTGAGGTGTTGAAGTCCAGTAGGGTTGCAACAATGAGAGAGTCCCATTCACTATGTATTTCTGTATTTCACCATGTTACAATTTGGCCGCAGCAATATCCTTTATTTTTCTGTGTGTGGGAGAGCAGTCTGATGGCAGGGCTTCTCTCCCTAATTTTCGGTGGCCTGGTCCATGCATTGTATGGGAGAAGATGTTTTCTGTGCATCTGCTTTCTCTGTTCTGTGTACGTTGCAAGGCTTTTTCTGACCAAAAAGTCCCCCTCCCAACTGAAAGTCCCTGCTTGGTGTAAGGAAACCAGCTGCTTTCTAACCAAAGGAAATGTGTGGATTCAGGGCCACAGACCTCTGGAATTTGGAAGGATTGCCCCAAACACTTTTGTTCGCATGGGTAAAATCCTGTTCTTATTGACCTGTCCATTCCCCTCTGTTACCGGGAAGGCTCCGTTACCTCTAGAGACACCATCATGGCCAGAGGGCTTGGAAGAAAAGGAGCACAATCCACTGTGCCTGTTGAATTTGTTAAGGCACTGTTAGGTGCAAACTCAGATGCGGACACCAGTGGCACGAAGCAAACAGTACCACGACAGCTACTCCTGATTCCAGGGAAAGAAAAGTACTAGGGCTTTAGGAAGTTTTGAAGACAAAGACATTTTTAAAGCCACAAAAAATGTTCATGGAAAATTTCATATTTTTGAATGAACAATCTGGGTTTTAATAAGGCTGTTTTTTGAAGGGAAAAAAATGTTTAAAAACTTTGGTAGTGTTAGACCAGCGGTGGGCAATTATTTCAGCTGGAGGGCCGCTTAACCAGTTTTGGTGAGCTGTTAAGGGCTGCATGGGTAGCCCACCTCTTGACGCTTGCCCCACCCCCTGGTTGCCATGTTCAGATGGAAGTCCCGCCCCTAACCCCTGACCTTTGCCACCAGAAGTCCCTCCCCTTGCCTGCGATGTGCAGCACTGGACAAAGCCACGTGCCTCTGGGTGCCGGCACCTGCGCTGGGCACGAGCATCTCGAGAGCCCCCGCTTGCTGCTGCTGCTGCCAGTGGGGACTATGCACCATGGTGGCTATCCCACCCTCCCTCACACTTCACAAGTGCCACACACCCACACCCAGCCCTTACAACCTCCCCATATACCCTATTTCCCCCCACACATACAGCCACACCCCCTTACAAACCCTCCACTCCCCACCATACACACACCCCCACACCCTACCTTACACACCCCCACACTCCACCATACACACATACCCAACACCCCACCATACCCATACAGTCCCACACCCCACCTTACACACATACACACACCCCACACCCCACCATACGTACCCCCCCCACACACACACACATACCCCCATCCAACCATACACACACACACCCCCTCCACACAATATACAAGACTACAAAAGGGCTGCCCTGAACTTTGTCCTGCAGGATTGGGCCCCACATGCTCCCAGGAGTGGGAGGGGCCCGAACCTGTGGGATGTCTGTTTTACCCAGTGAAGCAGAGGAGCTGTGCCAGGACACATCCCAGCACAACTGATCCACTTCATTTGCTGATGCCTGTTTACACCTTAATAAAAATCTACTGCAGAAGAGCATCAATGTAAGACATAGCGTGATGGTACAGAACAACACACCAGGCTAAAATCCTCCATAAAACAAGTGCTGCTGGCCAGCTGACAAGCACAGACTCAGTCACCTGCATGCCAGATATGTACAGCAGCATGCCAACAACTACTGAGCAGGCTCCCTGCCAGCCACAGTATTTAGGGTCAGTTGAGAGGCAAGCCTGAAAGAAAAAAAAATCTGCTGCACTGCTGAAAAGCATTTCAACCTCGCATTGTTTAGCCTATATCCCTCCCCGCTCCAATCCCACTTAGACTCTTGCTGAGAGGGCTCTCTTTCAGTCTGTGACAATAAAAACTAATGCTGATGAGACAATGCTTAGCCAAATTTCTGTCCTTTCCACTCATGGCTAAATGTTTTTCTGGATAGCAAGCACCTTAATACATATTTTCCAGTTAATGTGCATGTTTTCTATGGCCAAGATGGATAGCAGGGCAGAACGGTTTTGACAACTAGCAAATTTGCCTAAAAAAGTAGTTTTGGAAGAACCAAGACTATTTGTGAAATGAACTTTGGCAGGTAGTTTTGGCCAAAAATAGAGGAAAGAAATTTAAAAGTGTCAAACATTTTGTTTTAGCGTTTTCAAAGTGAAATGTTTCATTTTGGAAATGCTGCAATATTTCATTTTCCCATTAAAAAAAAAAAATCATTTCAAAATGGCATTTTCCATTTAATAACTGACCTAAATTTTAAAAGAAAAGAAGGGCTCAAACAGAATGGTCTGGGTTAGATTAAAAAAAATAAATAAAGAAAAAAAAACCCTTACTTTTTTTGTTTCATCAAAAAGAATTTTTAAAAGTTTCTATTGTGATTTCAACCGAAACGTTTTTTCCAGTGCTTGTTTTAACCACCAAATTGAAAAATCCATTATTTATCCAATCCTATCACAGTGGAGATATACCTGGATTACAAAGTAAAAGTTCGGTTCCATAATTAGATCAAAATCCTGACTTCTACAAAGTTTTGAGGTGTTTGGATACATTTGCACAATTTGTGTTTTTGCAAACATTGACTTGAGTTGCGCATTCCCCCAGGATTGAGAATGCCTGCAGACAAGGAGGAGATTGATTTTGGATCAAATATTGAATTTTTTTTAATAAAAGTGAGCTCATGCCTATCTCAGTTACAACAACAGATATTTTACATACTAACTGGGAAGTTAAAAATTTACACCATTGACCGTTCCTGGTCACATTGTGAGTCAGGCGGTCTTGGTCTTACAACCGTGAATTTAGTTATACAGAGCAAGTTTTGCTTCCAGTTGGCATATGGACCTCCAGAACAAACCAAGGAGGAATGAACCAGTAACCTGAGCTGCAGCAGCAGTTACTTCACTTATTACGTGCATTAAAAGAATCCCTACTCACAACAAGTCCAGTCATCCAGTCTCCTGATATATCTCAACAGCTGTACTTGCGGCCATATCCATCCCAGCCCACAGTCTGTTCTTCTTTTTTGCAACACAGGGCTGACATTTGAAAATGCTTAGACATGCCAAGACTTTGGGAGACCATTTGAATAACTTGCAATGATCTTCCATGCAAGCAGATCAAGGCAGACTCAGCAGTAATCACCAGGCAGAGGCTGCTCTATGTGTTCCAACACAGTCCAGCCATGGACGAAGGCAAAACACTGAAAATCCGGCTAACTTTCTCCATTATTTTGGTTGGTGTTGCTTTATTGTTTGCAGCTGTGGTGACTGATCATTGGGCAGTGCTGAGCCCTGAAGTGCTGCAGTACAATGCCACCTGTGAGGCTGCTCATTTTGGGCTATGGCGGCTTTGCACAAAACGGATTTACGTGCAGGATACCAAAGAGAAGGGCTGTGGACCGATCAGTCTGCCAGGAGGTACGTGTCAATGCTCGTTTCACATCCCTTCCCAGAAACGCCTGAGAGAAAATGTCACGTTATTGCTATTCATGTCTTTTAGGAACCTACAAGACATATTGAAAAGGAGATATGGTTCTTTGTTCGCATTGCACTTAGTCTTACAAGATTTCCTGAGTGAATTCGGTTCCATATTAGCATGAAAATACACCTTATTTTCATATTTCCTTGAGGCTTATCTTAAGTACATGATGTACTGCCACAGTATATATCTTCAAGTATATTCAGTACACTGCCTTTCAGTAGCTTCTGTACAGAAAAAAAAGAATATAGTTTGTATAACAGATAGGAGATGGCAGAAAGCATAGACTGAAATCAGAGAAATGGGACATTTTCTCACTGGTGTTTTGATGAAATCTTCAATAGGCCCAGCCCCAAAACACCTACACAAGTCCTTATTCAAGGAAAATGTATATAATTTTCACTGTGAGGTTTGCCTGTATGAGGATTATAAGACAAAATCTAGTATCTGCAGTTAGCTCAGAAGAAGAACTTCCTGGTTCAGATAACTTCAAAGGGACAGCTTGTGCAGGAAAGATATTAACATATCCCCAAGCTACCCTGAATAATTATCATTGCTTCAGACAATGTGCAACTTTGGACAATCATACAACTTTTAATGTATCATGCTAATGTAATGTCCTCCCTGGAAACCATCTCCCTCATTTAAATGCCAAAAATCCCGTAGACTGAATTAGAAATAATATATCATCAATTTATTGGGTTTCCTTAAACTTCAGTGACTGAAAGCAAATATATTCCAACATTATTGCTAAATGAAGTTTAATCAGCTGCCTTTCTTCATGACAAGTAGTAACATACATTGTAAGTAGTCCTTACTGCAACTAGTAGACATGGTAGTCAAGTAGGTGGTTTCCAGGGAGAACATTACATTAGCATGATATATTAAAAAGTCGTATTATATTTTTGCTGGATGGAAAGTCAGCAACATTCATGCAACATGTGCTAATACCCTACTCACAACTTCACTAAGCTGTGTTTTAAAGAGGCTTGCCATGAATTGAATTATTTGCCAAGCAGAAGTAATAGGCTGCTTTGCTTGTTAGAAATACTATTTGAAGCTAAGGTTAGATTTTAATATATTTGTAAATATGCTATGAAATTGCATAACAATAAATCTCAGTTCATGTGATTAATTAATTTATTATTAGAGATCTGATCCACAGCTTTCAGATCCAGGCTTCCACCAAATTTGGAGATGTTTGAGTCTAGACGACTGGCTGTAGGCCATATCTAATATGCATAATAAATGTGTTGTAATATGTATGTGCAATCCTAGTTTTGCAAACATTAGAGCTTCTATGTTTAACATAAAAATAAGGATTCATGGGAACACCAATACTGCATGTTGCTGGATACATTTATAACTTATAAATACCCAGCTGTCTCAATAAAACAGATTCTGAGTCACTGCAGCAGAGAAATGACTGCTCTTTTTGATGGACATCAGCATGTGCTTGCATGGTTGTCACATAGCTGAGCTATCCACCCCTCTGCACTGCCTTCCTAATGTGTCCAGTAAACAAATAGGTAATTATGAAAGAAGTGAGCCAGTCCTCTGCAAAGCAACTTGAAAAGACTAGACATAATCTTTGTATGCTGCACAGGTCAGCACTTGGCAGTTATTCATGAGATTCGATTAAATTTAATCCCAACCACCTAACAATTAATTTTCTAGCACCAGTCATCCTACTACTGGAGGCTTTGAAAGAGTCCGTCCCCCACATATTTTTTTTTTTTTTTTAACAACTGTTAATAAAATTCTCATATCTCCACTATAAGGTAGATATTACTGTACCCATTCTCCATATAGGGAATCTGAAGTAGGGAGGGGTGGACTAAAACTAGCCCCACATATGGTCCATAGCAGAGTTTGAAAAGAAACCCAAGAATCCTGCTTTTCAGGATTCCCCCTTATATTGTAGGTAATATTGCCATTATTGTAATGGTATCACATTCTTGAAAAAGAGACATTCCAGTTGTCAAGCTTGGGTTTGTCAAGAAAGTTTAGCGGAACAAACAGACAAGCGGGGATTTTGCTTGTGACCATATCAGTAGATCTTTTTTCCCCCTTAAATGTCATGAGATATTAAATCCTACACTATTATCATCATTTGAAAAATTACAAGTATTTACTACTTCATTAATAGCCACTTACCCAGTCATACTCATGGAAAAGATGGATGGCATTGCTACTATTATTTATTTGTTGAGTTCAGCACGGTATGGTATGAAAAGGAAGGGCTTGGGGATTGTAAGCTAAGAAAAGGTCTTGTGATTCAGGCAAAGAGAATTAAAATTACTTAAAAAAATATGCTAATAAACTAGAAAGGGTTCATAAATTTATCCAAGGAATGACAAGATTTAGTAGTTGGAAGTTTAGGTTAGACATCAGGTTTTAAACGTGTGAGCCTTAACTGTAACAGACCTTTGGAATAACTTACTTGAGGATGGGGTAGACTCTTTATTATGACAAGTCTTTAAATCAAAATGGGATGTTAAAAGGTAAATCTTATTCCTTATCCCCCAGAAGATATGGGCATGGCGTAGAACATCACCAAGTGACTTTTATAGCCTGTGGATGCTGGAGGCAGATTGATAAATGAACGCTGTTCTTATAAAAAAATCTACAAATCTACAAAATTGCAATGTGAATGGTGCCGACACGGTACTGCTGACCGAATCTGACCAAGTGACTTGACCTGCTTCCAGCATCTCTCTTGTCTTATCTGTATAGTTGGGATAGTAGAACGTACCTGAGAGGTGACCCCGAGTCCAACCCCACCAGTTTCAGATGATGGCACAAAAAGGCAGAGTGGGGTGTCGACTTAAGGAAGCCCAGGTGGAAATTCCCCTGCTGTGCCACACATTTTCTGTGCGACTTTGGGCAAGTCACATAGGCTCTCTGTGCCTCAGTTCCCTAGCTACAGAATGAGGATAACAGGACTGGTCTACTGCACATGGTTGTTGTGAGGATACATTGAGAAATTATCAGGGTCTCAGATACTAAAAAAAAAATGGGACCATAGTAGTATCTAAGTTCAGATTCAGATCCAACTTTTCCTTAAGTCCTCTGTGAAAAGTCCAGCCTTGTATAATTGCATGCTTCTACCCCTAAAGTCCAAAGGACTAACAACATCAAAACCCATGCTTCCACATCTCATGGGTTTTCCCAGCAAAGGCATTTCAACCGATGAGCTATCCCTCGAGGCCTTCCCCGGTCCTCACCCACTGAGTCAAGCATTGGCATACAAGCCTGATGGATCACATCAGCCTGTGAGTCAAGTGTTGGCATACAAGCCTGATGGATCACATCAGGGCAAAGGGACATATCTGGGCACAGGGGCTTCATTTTGTCCAGTGGGCAGAGTAAGCAATACTTCACTGGAGGAAAGGAGTCATTAATAGTACTAAGGCTTGATAGTCTAGTCTTTCCTTCAGCTCCAAATTCAAAGACGTTAAGAGCCTGCTAGTTAGCTTAGATAGTATCTGCTTTTTTGCAGACATGAAGGAGAGCGTTTTGTGCCAGAAAGCTTGTCTAACATCTCTCCCAGCTATGAAGCTGGACCGAGAGAGAGAAGATCTTACCTCACCAATCTTGTTTCTTGCATATTTTTCCTGAATCACCATGGCCACAACAACACTGTTATTGGCTCATTTATCATTTTCCTGCCACAGCTTGGCTGAGATAAGATAGACACTTACATAGAAATATTCAGTGCTCTCCAGGCCAAACACTCATGCATTTCCAGGAGCGTGACAGATAGTAAGGCAGCTGGAGGATGTATTGAGTACAGGGTCCCTTGGATAGCCATCTCTGTTTCCGCTCTAGTGTACCTATTGCACAGGACTACCACACAGTGTAGCAGGTAACTCCAAACACAGCGGCAATACAACATCTTCCACTGGAATCCTTTCAAACGATGCCGAGGTTTTGGCATCGTTTGATGCCGAAACCTCGGCATCATGCCGAACCTCGGCATGATGCCGTTATGCCGAAACCTCGGTTATGCCGAAACCTCGGCATAACCTGTGTTATTCTGTACTGTAAAGGAGTTTATTAAGATCACCTGTAAAACTGACTGGATCAAAAGGAGCTGCACTAGTCCATTTAGACTCAGAAAGTTTGGGTTCAATTGATTATCCCTCCTGGACTACTTTATAGGCCATTAATTTGCATGCAGGTACCCTATATCAAGCCCAAAAGACCTGTTGAACTGAAGGTGTCCTCATTTCAGTCCTCAGGAGGCTAAGCTTTGGGCCACAGGCTGTGGTCAATCTCCAGTATTTCAGGAAGTGGCCAGAAATTAAAAAAACAAAACAAAAACCAGAGAAGACATCTAGCCACTTGTGCACTGGAGAACAGTTCCTTCCTGGAGGCTACCAGATGAAGCCTGGATACCCGAGATTGAATAGAGAGCTGCAAGTATTATGGATCTGTTGAGAGCAGGGCAGACTATCCCATTTTCCTCAATGCCCAAGAAGGAAGGGGATGAACAGATTGCAAGATTCACAAATTTCAAGGCCAGGAAGGGCTACTATTCCCATCCATCCATGTTCCTCCTTCTATACCTGCACCTTTCTTGGTGATTCTTGCAATTAATTCATATATTTTAACAAGATTATTGTGTTGTGAACCATACTATGAATACGTAGAGAACCCTGCTTTACAAATGGAGATCCACAAAGCCAAAGGATTTTTTTCTACTAGCATAGCTGCTGGGTAACATTATCATGGAGAGAATGCAATTAAGGGAGGTGAGAAAGGAAGAATGCCACAACGTTTTCATCCATTATGAAGTTTGTTTAAATCCTAGCCTTAGTAAATGTAATGTGACAGAAATGGGAGTTTTCTAATTCATAGTGGTGCTGGAAAGGGCTTGAAGTAGCTCAGCTCTGTTGAATAATGGCGGGTTTTGTTGATAAAGGTATTCCCAGCTCAGTGGCTCACTGAAGTGTCATTGACATGAAGACAAGTGTATCTCACCACCATCATTCTTAGAAAAAATATCCAGCTTTATTCTGTGATAAATATATGCTCTGCAATAGCTCTTTCCCCAAAGCTGGCGCATTGACTTAATAACCTCTTGGCAGGATTATTATGAAGCTAAACCACAGTTCATTACATGGATAACCTGCACTCATTCCAGCAGTTCATCTCTAAAAAGACAACCCCAGGAACTGCCACGATATCCCCTCTGCCCCTTTTTTCTGATTAGAAAATGGGGTGGTGTTGGAGATACCTTTTTGAAAGAGTGCTAAGTATTCAGAGTACCATGGTACTAAGTATTCAGAGTACTAAGATTAGGGGTCCTAGGCATTAGGGGATTTCAAATAATTAATAGTGTGCTGCTTTGCTCACTTGTTCCATTTGTAAAGCAACTGCAATGAAAAAGTATGTCAAATGTGCTTGCTCCAGTATCAGGGGGATCATTCATCAGCCTGTTTGTCATCTATCAAAGAATCAGAATCCCAAGTTTGTATTGCAAACCCTCCGGGTAACTGATAAACGATGCAATTGAAAAGTTAGTTGGTGAGTATTAGTCATATGACAGAAAACTTGTGTTTCACTGATGCAAAGTGTATTTAATGGGTGTGGCAGCAGTGTAATGGAGAGTATTGACACCTGGTACTACATACAGTTTGGGGGTGGGAGGCCTTGTGTGAGAGGGATGAAGCAGCCACAAACTAGTGGCCCAGATTCTGTTTTCTTGGAGCCTCTTTGTTCTTTTGTGCTCTTCACTTGCAGTTTTTGCATCTTTAAGCAGTGGCTTAACAAACATAAAGCACCGTCATATCTGTTTGAGATCAAACATGTTTGCCTCTGTCATATTCAGGGATAAAAAGAGATGTGGCCACTGGATGCCAGAGCTGAACAACCATTAACCGAACAGTACATGAGAAGAAGCTGAGGGATGGAATAAAAATCAGTTTTTTATATATATATATATATATATATATATATATATAAAACATCTAACTCTCAAAAGAATCTTCAGCTAATGAGCTCCAGACATGTGGGTTACACATACTTCTTTGTAATTGTCTGATTTCCTATCAGATAGAAAATATTATATTTGGAACAACAATGCTAGGATATGGCATTTATGTTGTAGGAGAAACAAAAAGAATCTGGTTGATGATGTGCAGACCTATGCCATTTTAGCACTATTGAAGGATAGCGCTGTCAATATACACATGGCTTTGCAAGGGAAGGTTTGTCTGCATTGGGGCATCATTTTAGTTGCGGTCGTTTACGTCCAGCCAGTGGTGTACAAACCCCCGAGATAGAGACAAAGCCACAGGCTGCACCAGGAAAATTTACCGTGGATTCAGCCTGCACCAGTGACTTATTATGGATTTGTGGGCCTATACAAAGGCTGTGCACTGATGCAGGTACATGCATGGCTGGACACCAGTGCCTGACATTTCTAGTGCAAGCAAGGCTTTAGTGTGCTGCAAAGAGGTGTGGGATCCTGAAATCCCCTCTTCATTTATAGACATTTATTTCCACTATTTCAGGGCAGCTGTGCCAACTTCCTCCACTCCCTCTCCCCCTCCCCACTTTATTTGTTCTACAAACAATGGGAGTCATTAAAACAATTATGACCATTTGCCATCTGCCATGGTTACATTTCCTGCAGTCTTGGCAGCATTACCTGCTGTTACTTTAGTGATTATGGTAAAGCAAAATCAAACTCCTTGGTGCACCAAAGGTGTGATTTTTAATAAGGCCCACAAATAGAGAACTGCCTATATTCTCTTCAAATAGGCTGGCCAATAGAAAAAACACGATCAGACTATATACTGCTCCAGTTGGCAGCATCTTGTTAATGACACAATTCCCTCCAAACCCTTGGCAAGCAATTGTTCTCTTAACTATATGTATTCATCAAGCCCTCAATTAAACACGTTATAAATAGATGATGCTAAGTGTAAAGACACTCCTTCCTAATGCTACAGCTGGCAACACTGAAAGTCAATGACCATCTACTGAATGGACCTGCCCCTGTCTTGCTCACACATTTATCCAGATTGAAAGCATGCTTCTTTTTTTTATTGCAAGCACAGATAGAAACTTTTCACCCTATGGCTAAAGAGGGAATTTGAAGCCTTTGTTTGCAAGCGAGCATCACACCACCAAAAAACTTTAGACACAAGTCCGAAAACCCAGGAAAGACTGGTGCAGTTGGTCTATTCCACTAGAGTCAAATGCTGCACACTTAATTTCATTTTAATAGATTCCCCCTTACAGCAAAGTTTCAGTGACCTGTAAGAAAGTTCCATGCTGCAAAGCCTTGTGGACTGAGCTAGCACCAAGATAGCATCTTCTCCCTTCTAGTCCCTGCCAGGGAGTGACAGGAGATAGATGGGATATTCATTACCAGTGGTTAAAGCAGAGTGAAGCAGAAGAGGGAAGTCTGATCTCCCCAGCCACATCAGGTGGGCAACCATGCATGCGTAGGGAGAAGATTCTGCTTACCTGAACCAGGAAAGGGCCTCTGGTTCCATCAGAGGAGAGGAATTTGCAATTCCAATACTCTCCCTTACTTTAACCCCTGCTCATCAGGGCTGTGCAAAGCTATGGGTGCCGATTTGATTCGGAGGAGATTCGGCCTGATTCGGTGGTGGAATCTCCGAATCTGAATCGAATCAGGGGACCAATTAAAAGGTCGAAATCGATTCAAAGCTCTCCGAATCTTTGGAAAAGATTCAGAGAGCTTCGATGATTCAGGCAGTCCCCAGTGGCTGCAGCATGGAGCTGGAGCCGGACTCGGAACTAGTAAATAGCGGGTGGGGGAGAGGGGACCATGGGGGGACCCCTGCTAGCCGGCCCTGCCCACCCCAGCTCCCGGCCCTTTAAAAAAAAGGCCCAACTCACTGGGTGCTTCCGGGTGAAGGGCAATCTCTGCTGCCCCCACTGCATGGGGGGCTCTGCATGAGCTCCCGACACCCCCCTCCCCATCTCTGGCCCTTTAAGTAGGGGGGGGCAGCAGGGATCACCCCCCCACCAGGCAAGAACGGTAAATCCAGGGTTTTTTTTTAACTTAAAGGGCTGGAGCTGGGGCAGGCTGGGCAGCCGTGGGGGGGGGGATCAGGGGACTCGTGACAGAGCCCCCCATGCAGTGTGGGGTAGTGGGGATTGTTGGGTGGCAGCACCCGATGAGATGGGGCTATTTTTTCCAAGTGCTGGGAGTTGGGGCGGGCAGGGCAGCCATTGCTGGGCTGGGAGGGTGAGCAGGGGATGGGCCTGCATGATTTGGAGATTCGGCAGCAGCTGACTCTCCAAATCAGATTCAGCCAAATCAATTTGGGACAGTGATTTGAATCACTGAATCGAATCACTGTTCCCCAAATCAGCCAAATTCGAAGTGAATACTAGGTGCTTCGCACAGGCCTACTACTCATGTCATAAGTACCAGCCTTGTATAACTTGGTAGAAATGCCATTGTGGAGTGGGGATGGGTTGGCAATGTGACTTGTGCAGGGGAGGGGAGGGCAGGGGATGGGAGGGAAGGGGAGCCAGGGGATGCCAAACCAGGTTCTGGAGGCTGTCATTATCAGGAAATGGAGTACAGGTTTCCCTTGCTTTATGCGGTATATGCATTCCTAGAAAACGGTGCATAATTGAATTCATGTAAAGGGAACCCACTTTACAATGTAACAAATAGGAATCCATTCCAAGACCTGGACTGTACTGACTCCCAGACCCATTTCTACCACTTTTTGGTAGAGTTTTGGTAGTCACAGTTTTAACAAAGGCAATTTTGGTAGTCACCAACAGCAGACAGCACACCCAAGCACAGGGCACTATCATAAAGGGGATGGCAACTACAGAAATATGTGTCGCAGACAACGAACGAGGAGCACAGAGCCACACAGGAGACTATATTTTGGTGCATGTCACTCCCACAATGCACCGCACAAAGCAGCTGACTGCGAGATTCGACCACACCAATCGCATAAGAGTGAATTTACCTCGCGTATAACTAATTTTTGGTAGAAAAACAGTCATTGCATGAGAGCAAATTTGCACAAACGGAACTGAGGGAAACCTGTAGCGTGTAGCAAGAATCTGTAGTAGCAGCAGGTGGAAGGAAGGAGTTAGCTTTAATTCATGCTTAAAATAGACAAAGCAGTGAGTGGGCACAGCTCCCTTTGAGAACAGCCTATAAAAGGTGTCATAGGTTGCTTCCAATGATAGCCTCCTGGCAGCTCATATCTGTTGACAGAGTCTAATGCCTTTCATGCAACTTTCATTTACCTGCTTGGAAATAAAATATATCACTATAAAAATTGGCGTATCAGTTTCTTGTCCCATCTACATCTGAGCAACTGCCAGGAACTAGCAAAGCCACCCTGCATTTCACGGGGCTTGACTAAAGGGACAGTTCACGTGAATTTGAAACGAACATAGGAAGTTCCTGGGTAGCCTGCTTGTTCTACCAAGTTGTTTGTTTTTTGGGTTGTTGGGTTTTTTGTCTGAGCCGGGCAAGAAATATTCTGCAATACTAGGGTTGCAGAACCATATGTTTGCGTCTGACTGAAGTCACATTAAGCACATGTGTAAGTCTTTTCCTAGATTGGGATTTGATTTTCTTTCCCAATTTTTTTTAGATGAATGGCATATCCAATATCACTGTAGCACGATCAAAATTCCGGTCCTGTTAATATTGACTCCATAACCACACTGTTTTAACAATGTGATTCAATTAATACTGCTATTACTTATGATTCTTAATTATACTCAACTAAATTTTCCTTTGTTTTTCCTCAGAACGTAACTGTTCCTACTTCAAACATTTCACACCAGGACAAAGTGCAGAGATATTTGAAGTAAGCACGCAAAGAGGTAAGGATTTGCTAGGAGGAGAAAGTTTTTGCTGACTTTACTGGGTGAATTAGATGCAATGTAAATAGCTTCTCCAATTTAGGCCAAGCCCTGCTTCTGTTGAAGTCAGTAGTGAAACTCTTGTTTACTATAGCTGGAATTGAAGTAGCACCTTTGGCCTTGAGATGAAGGTTTTTATATGCCATTAATCAATTCTCTGAACCAGGAAAAGTACAAGCCTTTTGGGGAAACTAATTTTCAAGCCTCAGAATGATATCAGGTTGTCCCTGTCCCCTATCTGAGGCTGCTTAAATTGCCCATTAGGCACTGACATTACAAGTATAACAACAAATTTAAAAACTGTGGAAAGTCTTTCCACTATAAGAATGATATTCAAGTCCTATTGAGTCAGTGTTCTACAGTGGAAAAGAAAAAAAAAGATGCTAACCTAGAAATTTGGTAGAAATTCTTGGAATTTGCTAAGAAAAGAATTTTCTCCAGTGTCCAAACCAGGAATTTTTAGAAACTTTTTTTGATATGGAAGGAAAGTGCCAGTTCTATGAGCTTACACTTAAGAAAACATTGGAAAATAAATTTAAAATTTTAAAGCAGGGATGAGTAGAAGATTGTGAGATTTGTATTATACAGAGTACAGAGGCAAAAAAGGTGAATCATTATATAGACATGAAGAAACACAAAAGCTAAGCATCAACTGAAACATAAAGGGACTGCCACTGACTGAAAGGGAGATAAGAACACAAACCTGTGGACACTGATTTGGGTTAGAGAAGCACTGTTGATGGGTGATGAATATCTGTCTATCTGTATATTTTACAGGATTGGATGCATCTTTAAATGATACATTTGTTATTTTATATGTTGGACTGGTTAATAAAGTTTAAAAAATGATGTTTACAGCATTCATGCTATCTTCTACCTATGTCAACAAAAAGAGAGGACATGAATAAAATCTAAATGAATGAATCCTACTCTAGGCAGAGTTTTGACTCTGAAAAGAGTGAAGCGCAGAAAGCCACTAAAAATTGCTAATGTTACTGATTTCACATGAAAGATACCCAAATATTACAATAATGAGTAGAAGAAAGAAAAGAAAAGATGAATAGATGGGATGGAGGCATCTGATGTATGCATTCACATTTGAAATGTACCCAGATAACATTTATTCTGCCTGGAAATAGAAAACTACCTGCCCCTTACAGACACTTCAAGTTGTTTATAATCAATCCTTGCTAAAAGCCTAATAATTTTACTGCTAGTCTAAAGTGCCTGCCTCTCTCTCTCTCATTAAGGATAAATTCCTTTATATTTTTGCTGTACCACATATTTTAGTGTGGAATAAATAAGATGATGATTGCATTACACATATTAAACAATCTGCTTTGCTTCCACTGAAATAATAATGATGGAAAACCCTGCAGCACAGCTTTTCTAAAGAAGCAATTGTCCCTAGACAGGGAAGACTGTGAATTTTAAATGATACACTGTGTGGATAAAAGAACAAATATCTGAGCTACCTGCTTTTGTTATCCATTAATACACTATTAGATCCAGCCATCTGAACTCAAAATTGTATCCATTACATTATGAGTCACTTCAGATGAAAATTGTGGAGCACTTCTTTTCTTTGAAAAGAAAAAGCCAAAACCACAGCAAAAGATTCTCAAATTGAAACTAACTCTTTTGGGCAGTTCTACTATAGAGCAGAGAAAACTCAGAAGAAATGAAATAGCATTAAGAAAAATGTTACTTGAACAAGTAGCATGAAAAGACAAGGAGAACAAACAGAAATATGCTTTGCCCTCCTACAAAAATAGCTGCATTTCTATGGAAGTCATTTAGTACCAGAGATAAATATTCTTCATGGCTTTGCCAGATTTTTTTTTTTCAGTAATGGCTTGGGAGGCAAACCGCACCAGGCACTGTGATGTCCATGAGTGGCTACATGTGTTAAATATTAAACCAGTCTGGAAATGAATGCAAAATGTAAAAGGAAGTCTAAATTATTCAATTAGCAATTTTCCCCTTCCATTCAGACTTCTTTATCTGGGTGAAGCATATAATGCTTATACATAGTTTAGCTGGATAGAGGAGCTTTCTGGAGAGCCTTTTCCCTTGTCCTGGAAAAGCTAGGTTTTCACATGGCTGAGAAATGCTGTTTTGATTCAAAGAGAGGATGTGCTTTGTAACCACTGACAATTGAACAAGCCGCTTTACCTCTCGCTGCCTCTGTACCACTTTGTCAGTCTTGTTTAGTTCGATGTTGAACTCTCTGGGGCAGAAACCTGTCTCCGAAGGTACGTTTGTACAGTACCTGGCACAATGGCTCCTTGTAGCAGGGGCTTGGAGTCATTGTAATACAAACATGGAAGAGTACAAGGGCCTTTCTGTCTAGCTAGATGGAATAATGAAGTGGAGCACTTGACGCATTGAAGACCAGCTCTCCACCCGCTCTGATAAAACCTGTGCGCAAAGGAATCTAATAAACACATTGAACATTTTGTAGGGTAATTTTAAGAAGTGGTGGGAATAAACCTACCACAAAGGGGTGCTGGACCATGCCCGGAGTTACTAGACATTGCAGAAATACAAATGAATCAGAATATAATAATAATGAAGCCATATGCTGGGCTGTCTTGCACTGTCCTGCGGGGAATGCTTGGCTGTTCTGTTGTCTGCAGTCCTGGGCCTTGCTCCTACTGCCCCACAAATCAGCAGCTACACAAGCAAGACTTGTGTATGTTTGCCATACCTTTTCTGTACCAGGAACACCAGGTTCATTGGTGCCTCCTATCTACAGCAAGGAAAAACTGTCTACTTCTATTTTAAAACGGTTCTTTCTTTAGCTCCCGGCACCGCAGTGATTTTGCAATGGGATCAGTCCAGCATGCTGGAAACTTGTTCATAATTTTTCCCCTTCTGTTTGGCTTTGACAGAATATAGTATTTCAGCTGCAGCCATTGCAATCTTCAGTGTCAGTTTTGCAATCATTGGAACGATCTGCGTCCTCTTATCCTTTAGGAAAAAAATGGATTATCTCCTGAGGCCAGCCTCCATGTTCTACACTTTTTCAGGTAAGATATTTGGTGTGACTTAGAAGTGTGTGTGTGTGTGCATGCTTGCACTGAAAACCTAGGACAATGGGAGTAGTAGAAAATCTCAGTTGCCAGGAAGACCGCTCTTGGAGAAAGAATACATTCAAGAACTGAACTCCATTTAATGCACCCCATGTTGCAGTCCGGGGAACTATATCTAAACTGTGTTTGAAGTCTTTAGGATTATCTAAACAAAATGAGATACTTCTGAAATATTCAGGGTTGGACCTCACAGAAGAGAAGGGACATGCAAGGGCCTTGAGGGGTACAGGGATCATAAACCAAAGGATCAGCTCATACAGACCTCAGCTGATGAAGATGTTCCTTAATATCTTGAGGAGTAAATTTTCACAAAACCATCAGTACTTTTGCACCCCAACCTCCTCTTGTGCCTTAGCTACCACTATGGTACATAAATGGCACAAGGAGAGGGGCTTTATAAAAAGCAATGTAGATAAGGTAGATAGTTTGCCAGTAGTCCACATCTCTCCAATAGCACTCTGGTAATCTTAGGAGCATTTTTAATCCTCTTGTTTTACCTAGTATTAGGATGCAGTTCAGAAGGAACAAATTACACAGTGTGTTCTTTGCTTTTCAAGTTCTGTTTTGCATTCATGGATGTATGCAGGGTATTTAATGATTCCTAGTCACGTCCAGTCCTAGCCAACACCTGCCCATAAGACTTTCATTTCTTCCCCCCTCTTAAAAAAGTGTCTGGGATTTTCAAAGCTGAAATGAAATGTTGTTGCTAACTGTGCTGTAAATCAGTGTCTGAGACAGGGGTGCCAAACTGCAAAGACTATGGCATTTTCTAGGCTGTGTAGTTTAAAGGTGGATCCCAGTCTACAGTTGAGCAGGGAGAAGACACTTAGAAATTTTTGGACTAGCAGACAAAGGCGTATCAAGATCCACTGTGAATGAAAGAAGCATGTTCAAATTTTTATTGCGAGGGCATGAAATCCTTGGAAGAACATTGCAATGGAAGTGGTAAGTTCTCCATCACTCGGACTGCTCCAAAGTCCATTTCTAAAGGATCTGCTCTACCTCCACAGTCACTAAGACGTGTATGAGATGATCATATTGGATCATATTGGTATCTACTAATGTTTAACCTTTGAATCATGTATGAACTTCACTGCATGCTCTTGTGACCAGAAGGCGGGAGAGGGGGAAGTTCATTAACAAATGAAAGCAACATGGACCGAATACAAATGGAAACCCTGCCTTTCCAACTCACACCTCCCTCCTTTCTGCAGGTCTCTGCATTATCATCTCTGTTGAAGTCATGAGACAGTCTGTGAAAAGGATGATTGACAGTGACGAGACATCCTGGATTCAGTACTATTATTCATGGTCTTTTGCCTGTGCCTGTGCCTCTTTTGTCCTGCTCTTTGTCTGTGGAATTGCTCTTCTCCTAATCGCCTTGCCTCGCTTCCCCCAGAACCCATGGGAGACCTGTATGGATGCAGAACCAGAGCACTAAACACGTTCATCACAGATCACTGGCTCTGCTCTGCCAGAGAGTATTGTAAAAGAGGTTTATTTAATGTCTGGATGGCAGCGTACGAAGACAAAAGTACCTTTATATAAAACCTGATCATTGAACCGAAGGAAAGTTCAATCCTAATTATTGTTTTAAAAAAGCATTAAGATCAACAGGTTGGGTTATATGTAAAATAACTGTGCTCTACTACACCTAAAATTTCTGCCTTCAACCTATTAAAGGCTGAGAGAGGTAATTTGCAGTCTGGGAATACTTTGTGCAAATGAAATGGAGGGAAAATGTGAGGGAGGTTGTTTAATGAGAAGCTATATATTCTAGCGGTTAAAGCACAGGACTGGAAGCTGGGATAGCTAAGCCAAGCAATCCTGGCTTGGCAGCAAACACCCCGTGCAATCTGAGCTTCTCAGCGAGTCAGTTTCCCCATCTGTACAATGGGAATAATGTTTCTCTACCTCACAAGGATGTGGTGAGGCTTAATCTACTAATGTCTGTATATAGTATAGAGCTCTTCACATTGTAAGGGTTATATTGTAGTTACAGTAAAAGAGGTTTTTGCCTACTTTAGGGATTAAAATTGACCTTCCAGTTGTACATCCGAAAGGTCTGCAAATCATTTTCACTTCTGAACTAGGAATGTAAAAGTCATATAATTCCTATTCAATTTGAACTCCGATGGCAAAGCCAAGCAAGTATTGAACAACACGGATAATATCTTCCTTTAATAAAGAGGCGTAATCTTCCATTGAGATATAATTTCTGCTTTCTGGACAGTGGTTTGGATGGATGAGCCACATGAGTGTCTGCTATGCTGTAGCTCTGAGTGGAACTGACTGTACGTAGTTTCACAGTCATTTCTTGTTATTGAACTTTTGTTGGAATATTGCACTCTTCTAGATGACTGTTTTGCAAAAGAAAATGTACGGTCTTTTGCTAAATGCAGTATTTGGAACAACTACACATGAAACATAATTCCAGAGTGTAACAAGATGGGGACAGCCATATTTCTTGTCTTGGCCCAATAAATTAATCTGGGTAAGGGATTCAGAATGAGGGAAGGGATTTGCATTCACCAAACATCAGTGACCTGACCTCATTTTGAACTGATGGACATTTGGGATAAGTGAGATCTGGTGATATGGTTACTGCGTCTTAAAACCCACCATGTAGGGGCAGATTTCCACTGAATGACATTAAACTCATGTAACAAAGGCTTACACTCCCGTGGCAGGACAAGTGGAATGTCCTCTGCCGTGATGGAAAGACATGCCTGCAGTCTGCCTCCATGGTTCACCCAATAATTTAAGTCCATCTTATATTCTTCAGTAAAAAAAATAGTTTTTCTTTTTTTCAATTCAGTCAGACAAGTGCTATCCAGTGGTCAGCATACTCTTTACTGCTGCATGTGATGTGTTCAGGTATGTTTTGTATTCATTAGCAAGAACAATGTGTGTATTAGATAAACAGCACAACACATGGGGCTCCAAGTCCCTGGCTGCATGCTCCCGTGCTTGTGTTATTAAGAAAGGGCCTGCTCCAAATCTGCAGAAAGCCCATGGACAAATGCCTGATAACTTGAGTGGGCCGTGTACAAAATGGGGTAGGAAATGTTGCCCAGGTACATGTCCACTTTGCACAGGTATAAAAGAAAGCACAGTGCAAGGCAGACCCACTGTACTTTCAGTTAAAAGCTGAGCTAGATCCTTTCCCAAAGCTCTTGAACTCTCTGTGCTTTATTTTCTATCTGCTGCATTTGAAGGGGCTTCTAGATGCATAATTTGCTATTTAAATACATAACCTGTAAGGCTGAGAAGCGTGTGTATGACTTCATTTTGCTTTTCCAGATATTAATAAAAACTGCTGAGGGATTTGTCCATTAAATCAGTTGTTGGTATTCACAGTGGGGAAGCAGCTGCTCTTACTGCAAGCTTGTTCTGCCATCTCCAAATCTCCCTGTCAGGGAGCTGATAATGTGTTGTGAGAAAAGTTAATAAAAGTAATTGGCTTCTATGCAGGCAAAACAAAGCATAAAGTCTGGGGAAAACAAAATCTGTAAACAGCTTGAGCTGTCATGCTCTCAGTTGAGCAGCAGGTAGGCTATGACCCACCATTATTATTATTTTTGTAGCATGATGTACCGGAAATGTTTGTGTTGGTGGAATCAGAGAATCAAAGGGAAACAGGGCTGGAAGGGACCTCAAGAGGTCATCTAGCCCAACCCCCTGCTCCAGGCAGAATCATCAAGGTAGGAAATTATCATCAAAAGAAAGGACGGGGAATCCTTGTGCGGAAGGGTAGAAACAGATGTTGCTTTTTGTCGCCTTTGTGCAACGAAATTTTTGTGGCAGCACAAAGCAACAGACGTTCATACTTTTTGTCATCCCACAATGTGGCTACAATAAAAGGTAGCAATAAATTCTGCCGCTTTATTATGGCAGTGGATGTCTGCTTGCTTTGTGGTGGGAGAATGCAGGCGGTTGGAGCTGCACGCACTCTCCCACTGCCCCAGGGGGAGAGTGGCCTGGTCCTGCACACCCTGGGAATCCCTCTGCAGGATCAGGCCCCTCAAGCCTAGAAAGTACTTGCCAGCTTTCCCCACTTTTGAGATGCACCCCCAGGATCTCCAGTGCGTATCTCTGGAAGCAGGGAAAGTTGGGCTTTCCTCCTTGCAGAAACACACTTCTGGCAACATCTGGGGTTCCCAGAGATTGCTGGGCTGCACGTCTGGAAGTTGGGAACACGTTGCCCATCGTCCTCCAAGATCAATAGGCAGAACGATGGGAGACGTGTTTTGCCCAACAAAGTAGATGAGCTGGGACACATCCTGGCGCAGATGATCTGCTTCATTTGTCGACACCAAGTTGAAGCCAAAGCAGTCATAAACTATCAGGGTTCAACATGCATAAAGCAAAAAGGACAGTTAGCAAAATGAGTGACATATGGAGATTTTAAGGGGACAATTTTAAAATGCTTGTATTTTTGAGCAGCACAAGTCTTTTATTGGAGCTTATGTTCCTGAGTCAATCTGTCTTGCTTGAAAAATTTGCAGCAGAGCAGGATTAGAATAGGATTAGAATAGCAGGAGTAGAGGAGTCAGGTCAAGTGATTTTACCAGTATGGACCAGGAAATCGTGACTTTTGGTCATGCCTGTATGAAAACTCACCAGATAGCCTAGATCTCAGGTCCAGATCACTTACATTCTTCAGAGTTTCTGGCAATTTGGGTTCTAGTTCGCTAAAGCTTGCCAAGCACCTTGAAATGACAAAATGCTATCTATACAAGTGCTAAGGGAAAGTGAAGAAGACTGACGCAACAGAAGACATCATACATTTTTCTGCAAGGACAAGATTTGCTGTTAGGCCTAAGGCTTGAAGAGATTTCGCTTCCTTTATTTTTAAATGTTGTTTTGTGTGAATTTGTTGTAAGTAAAAGGTGCCAGACTAACAACCTTGAAGAATGAAGTTGTCTGTTGAGGTACTATCCAGCTAAGTCCTTAGAACAATATTTATCACTATAGTATCCGAATGCCTCTCAACACACAACAGCAACTGAACTCAAGCAGGACAGTGGCCTACTTTCCCAAGATAGTCAGCTTTTTTATATATATATATATATATATATATGAGAGAGAAAAGATGTGCTTTGCATTCTATGCCTCCTTTCTATTCCTCCCCCTTCTCCTGCTCTTTATTTTGGCCTTCACCTCCGTTTCCTCCACTCGTTGCTGTTTTCAGTTGCAGCCGTGGAAAGCCGAGTCCCAGAAGGGAGTTTCATGCTGTGTTCTGAAGTCTGTGGGATCTGTGGTCAATCTTATCTCCCCAAGCAATGTGTTTCAAAACCTTGGCACTGCTGCTAAAAATGCTCTATCTGCTGCTCTCACCAGCTTCATAGCTGTAGAGGAACATAGCTGTCCAGAGAGGTTGTCATTGCAAAGAGGGTTGCTCTCAGAGGCATGCATGCCCAGCTCCAGGGAGGGCCTTGAAGATTAACACTGAGACCTTGATGTTGACCTCGGTAGGCTATAGAGACCCATGCGGCGTGCCAGCTGTAGGCGCTGTGGTGATTTATGTGATGGGTGCTTTGCACCCTGGGAAATGGATTAAGGTGCAGAGCCTCTGATAACAATGTAAGCCCCAGTTCAAAAACTTTAGCCTTTCCAAGTGAGAGCTTTAAAATAGTATTTTGGGGGGCATATAAATGTCCAACACTCAGAAAAAGGTGTCAGCAAATGCAATTTGAAATATAGGGTTATTTATACCACACAATGCAGGTTTTGAAATGGCAACTGCACTTAACTGTACATCACAGACATTTCAAAAAGATCTGATTTTAATGCTTCTGGGCAAACTGCATACCCTTTTGCTATCACAAAGACAGGTGACAAGGGAGTCCCAATTAAAGGAAAGCTGTATATCACATATACTCAACATGTATTCAATTGTCCCTCACATGCATTTCAAAAATACCTGATTTTAGCACTTCTGGTCAAACTGTTTCCCTTTCTTACCACAAGACAGATGACAAGGAAGTCCCCAAAATGGAAAAAAAGAATAGGGAAAAAATACCTCATTGCAAATGTCTTTTTTTCCATGAAAATACCCTGTGTAACAGAGGCACAAATAAGATCAAAAGAACCAGTTGCCACCCGCTACTGACAGTAATGCACTACCCAGGCAAACAAAGCAAAAAGCAAGGCATTAAAATGCACAAGGATGATGCACAAAAGATTTCCAATACACACCACCACAAACCCCCTGATCCCACGTCCACCAGCGCCCTTTGTGGCCACAAGCTCTCTCTTATCATGGGTTCACATAGCATCTGGCCCAGTGGGAGCCCGTTCCTGGCGGACATGCCTGGATTTTCCACAATACACATAAATAACAGAGAGACGTGGCTAAGACTCCATCTTGTTCTCTGCTGCTTAGAAATCAGGAACAAAACTCTGTGGAGATTTTGGAGGGCTGCACAAGTGCAGTTTGGACACGCACAGAGTTGCAGGGGGGTCATTTCTCATGGCTGCAAGTAACAAAAATGTCTCTCGCACGCTTACCTGCGCACACTCGCGGCTAACCTGCGCTTTCCACTGGAGATGTAAAGGAAGAGCAGCAAGTGAAGGCAGGACCCACAGGCTTTCCCTCAGCTGTTGTGCGTCTCTCGCTGCACCTGCCGACGTGCTCCATCCTTCAGGCTCTTCCATGGATGCCCTGCCGGGTTCAGTGCCTGAGGCACAGAGGTCACATCTCCGGGAGAGCGGGATGCCTGCTCGACGTCGCTGAGGGTTTCGTGGCAGGTCTCTCGTGAGGCGTCCCAGGCACGAGCACGAACGCTGTGGTGACAGACGTGGGGCGTAAGCCCATGAGAAACGCATCCCAGAGCCCAGCAAAACTGCTCGTTTTCTCCCTTGCTGCTTCTCTCAGAGCGTTTCTCTTTCTTCTGAGCGTCTTTGAGCCTGTCCACGCAGCTGAGGGAAACCTTCCAGCAGCCCGGGCCGTGGGAGCTGCCCCCTCTCACCCCGCGGCACTGCACTGCTGAGGCGCAGCCCCCTCCGCCCCACGCTGTACGGCCCTGGTCATGACCCAAGTCAGGAACGGGGCTGGCAGCCCCAAAAGCCCTGCAGGGAGGGAGAGGCCCCCAAGGCCGGCAGAGCTGGAAGGCGGCTGAGCGCCAGGTTTCAATGCAGCAGCCCGGGGGCTTGAGCTCGAGGTCCCAATGCAGGTAGAGGCAGAGGCAGCGGCAGCGGCAGGTGTACAGA